CTGGTGGTTCAATGGTAGTGGCGCACTCAGTGACCAAAGGTCCCGGGTTCATGCTTTTGTGCTCCGACGTCTAGTCTAGAGGCCACACGGGCAGTCAAGTAATGGCTAGTAATATATGCTGAGTAGGGGGTAGCGGCAAAGATAATGGAGACTACGAGGCAATTTCTCGCTGGTCTGCCGTTGTCAGCGTGCCATTTCTAATCCCAGCTCCAGATGACCTGTTATCCGTACGCGGTTTCTCTATTCATCGACAGTTTTAGATCGTAACGTACTACCCAGGTTACCCGGGACAGGTGCGAGAATTCAACTCAGGCCTTGTTTATCACTCAGCAACCGGTTTAGCCCTTCGAGTGCTGTCTTCTTAAATTAGAGCGCATTTTTGTTTGGTTACCCTGGTCTCTGTTCATTGTACATTCTTCTGCATCTGCCTACCTGGTGTCGATTTCCTATGGACGTTGCAATTTTGCCTTGCTAGAATCTTTCGAGCAGGCGAATATGCGCACATTTAGACATGTCTTCTGATAAGGACAAAAACTAAGATGCAATCATCGTGAAAAGACTTTATTGCTTTTGACTCTGGGACTTTCTGTCGACTTTAGCCATCCAATTCTGATGAAGACAACGGACCCAGTAAAAAGCCCGAATGTGCAGAATACTAAATTTATTTGCCTACCTAACGATGTACTCCTCTTCCTCCTGCTCCTCATGTTGCAGACCTTTTTTGACAGCTTCCCTTATTTGCTGAGTTATGCTTGTTTTGTTTTCCACCAGCTGCCAAGATCTTCGAGTCACCCTGCTTGTTGACGGTGGTGTCACGCACATGGAGAGTCACCCTGCAGGCAACTTAGACCGGGAGAAGTCTCGTGCCAGCTGGAATGTGCCCATCAATGGTACTGCCGCGCCAGCGTCCACCGCCACCTCCCCGGTCTCCCCTCACAGTCCCCTCAACTGCGGCCTGATACGGGCCAAATTCACCCTCTCTGCAGGCCCCGGAAAACCTCAACCCGTGGCCCTGCAGTTCTGTCGGGACGGTGGTGCTCTGCCCAGCGGAACTACAATCACTCTGCGCTCGGAGGGCTATCGCCTCACCATGTGCA